ACACTTTGAATACACTCAAATATATAACTATCAGAGTACGTGGGAATACAACATACATACACTGTGAACACATCCAAATATAGAATTATAAGAGTAAACAGGAATATAGCACATACACACCCTGAATATTCTAAATAGAACTATAAGAATACATGGTAATACAGCCTGCATGCACGAATACACTCGCACAAACACAATGAAGATATCTAAATGCAAAACTATCAGAGTACATGTGAATACAGCCCACATACACAAACTCTGAACATATCCAAATACAGAAATGTCAAAGACATGTGAATATAGTGCACACCCACAATCTTTGAATACACCCAAATAAAGTAGCTATCAGATTACATGAGAAAACTTTGAATACAAACAGAAACTGACTTTCAATGCATCCAAGTACAGAACTATCAAAGCACACAGTAATATAGAACACATACACACACTGTGAGCACAAATACTAAACTATTAGAGTACATGGGAAGATAACACGTGTACTCTGAATACATCCAAATACAGAACTATCAGAGTACATAGGAATATAGCCACACACACACACTGAATACATCCAAATACAGAACTATCAGAGAACATAAGAATATAGCACACACACTATGAATACATTCAAATACAGAACTATCAGATTAAATGGAAATATTACACAGACACACTCTGAATACATCCAAACACATATCTATCTATCAGAGTACATGGGAGTACAGCAAACATTCTTCGAATACATCCAAATACAAAAGTATTACAAATACAAACTCATACAATGAAATACAAATAACTCAAAAGGCTACAATAATACAGTAGACTCTGAATCCATCCAAATACACACAATTCAAAGACTAAAAGAGTGGGCAGGTGTACACACACACGTGTGTATACACATATAACACAGGAATATATAGTAGTACACAATCTGAATACATCGAAATTCACGCAGCTCAAGGACTACATAAATACAGTACACATTCTGAATACATCAAATTACAGACAATTCAATCACTGCAAGAATAGTCTACATACACTTCTAACGTAATAAACTACAGTTTACATCCTGAAAAGAGCTTCTACTGCGTTCATGCTTAAAAGGGAAGTTCATTAATAGTGTTGTGGTAAACAGCTAGGTTGTGACATCTGTGCCTTTTAGCCCAATAATCATATTTCAGCAAACTGTATTGCCTTTTAGGACATGCTTGTGGAGCAGTGGGTCCCTCCCCCTCACCTCAGTTCCTGGAACCCACACAGGGACTGAAAGTAACTATGTACAGTACAGTCAAACCTTCCAAAACAGTTCTAGCTGATCAGTAATAATGGATACAAGATACTTGTATTAAACTACAAACCATTAATAACAATAATTTCCATAATTGGGAAACCCCTAGTCAGATTTGCAAAATTACAATTTAAAAAAAAGCACAAAAAAAAAAGCAAAAAACGAAATTGTGGCGACAAGCCTTCATCAGCAAGCAAAAAGAAGATACAAACCACAATACAACACAAATATATAAATGATACTAAACATTACACACAAACAGAAAAACCAGTTTCTATCAATGTCTGCCTCAAAACGTGTGCACAAACTAGGGGGAAGACACATCACATGCAGGGGCCATATAAAGCCGGTAAATTTATTTAGTATGGCTCTGCTAAAGCGATCATAATTAAATGTTTGACAAAAAGTGACAGGTTAATGTCTACGCTGATAACTCTGTATGACCCACGAACAGTGTCATACAAATCCATCAACAACAAAAAAAAATTCCCCACCCTCATAAATGAATTTTCCTGCCAAAATTTCATAAAGAGAATATAGAGTTAATCCTGTGTTTTCACAGCAAGCGGTATAGATGTATAGGGGAATTATGTGGTTGACTTTACCTTTCCAGAAATCTGGTGCATGCCTGCTGATGCTGCGACTATCCTAGAGATGTACTAGTTAGAATCACTCTGATGTCAGCCCTGGGGATCAAACTCAGGCTCACTCAACTGGTAAGTATCGTATTTATATCTATTTACACCAACAAATGTCGCTAAATGCTGTTTTCTATACATGAACCTGTGTGGGTTTCAAGGAAAACAACAGACCTCTGACCCTTAAAAAAAGCATGTCACAAAAGACAATTAAGAGTTTACTTAAATTTGATGTGTTGGGCCGAAAGGTGCAAATTACGCAGCCCAGCTGTAAACCACAACACAACATGCTAACAATCCTTTCAACTCCTTCAATGCCAGAGGACAGTTAAACTAGTTATAAATCAAAGCAGGAGTTCCTTTTCAACCAGAGATTTGAGGGCGAAAGCAGGATAAACAAGAAGAAATACATAAACCCCCATGTTTTAACATGGTTCATCATAATACTTCTTCTTCTTCGTGTAAACTCCAGTGGAAGGTCCTGGTTGTTCATTCAATGTTGGACTTGGTTTTTTAAAAATTACCCACCAATGAAATGCTTCATGGAAAGGGGGCGGTGGTCTATTATTTGTTCTCCAAAATCGAGCCTCGGAATCCACAAAGAATGTCATATTTAATTGACTGACATGTTTCAACCAGTAACATATCACAGGATGGAGCATGGGTGAGCTGGACCGTTGTGCTAAAATGTTGATATGGACAACAAGTAACAAGACTGACTAAATACACCAACAAATGTTGCTAAATTCTGTATTCTATATATGAACCTGTGTGGGTTTCGAGGATAGGAGGTGAGAGGGCAATGTGGAGATCCACTGACCCTCCAATGAAATGCTTCTTGTGAAGAGAGGGGAGTGGGGGGGGGGGGGGGGTGATTTAGGATGGAATCCAGTGGAAGGTCCTGGTTGTTCATTCACTGCTGGACTTTGGTTAGTTTTGATTCAGAATATTGCATGCACATCCGTTTTAGAGATATATCGCAGGATGGAGCACGAGTTGAACAGGTGTGTTACCATATAAAATTGCTTAGCTCTGCACGCCACGAAAAGGACCTCTGCAGTGTTCATGGGATCAAAGCAGACAGACCCAAATACTGTCTCGACCGGAGATGAAGCCGTTTACCCGGGCGCCAATGTGACCTTGGTTGTATCCGGGCATGATTCGGAGGAGGGGGCCTCACCCCCCCCCCCACAAGCATGTTGTAAATGGTGGCTATTTAGGGTTTTGCTGTAATCGGATGTGGTAGACCAAAAGGTGCAGACATCATAGCCTAGCTGTAAACCATAACACAACATGACATCTGTTCTCTAAAGGACAAACTTAGAAAAAGAATAGAGAAGGCTAACCCAGTCAACGAACGTCAGCAAAAGTCAGAAGTGTCAGCCAAAAGGCACAAATATCACAGCCATGCTGTAAACTGGTACAACACACCTATGTCTTTGGATGAATGAAGAAGAAGAAGAACAATGTAAGTGACCACTAGTAAAACCAGACTTTTTTCTTTAGTATGCTGTCACTAAATCTGACAGCATCCAAAATTCCGACTCATGAAACTATCTTGGCTGTAGACAAAAGGAGACAGAAGGGCGAGAGGAAATGAAAGAGGTGACAGACTGGCCGTGTCTGCAGTGGTTAGTGGAAGAAGAAGTAGGGAAGGGGCACATGCATAATGAATGCGCTGCATTCCAGAGACGTTGAGAGAAGGAAGTCAGAGGCGATGGACTGCCTGTTGGAAAGGGGTATTAAACGAGGATAAGCGTGCAGAAACCTGTTGTGGGGCAAAGAGAGAATACACGTCAGACAACTCCTACTGGGTACACTTAGCATGGAGATACTGAGATGGCTGCAGCATCGGAGGATGGAGCATGGGTGAGTTAGACCGGTGTTATAGAATGTCAATATGGACAACAAGTAACAAGACTGACTAAATTTAAAAGCAGGACAAATGAGAGGGCAATGTGGAGATTCACTGTAACCAACCTTCATAGTGGAGATAGCACCCGACTGATCGGCTAAATGTAAAATATATGAGAACAAGTTACATGACGATGAGAATTGAGAGAAAAATAGAATGAAACATTGCATTTCCTGGAACCAACAGAGTTGAGAATAAATCATTTGTTATTTCCAGCTTGTTGAAATTTCTTTCCCTACTTGTTATTTCCTAACAGATCACAGACCCGCACCCAAGTGATAAGTGTTTTGTTTTTTATCTTGTGCAATTCATTCCATAGGGAACAGATGTGGTGTAGTGGCTAGATGGTTACTTGCAGATCCAAAGGTCATGGGTTCAAATCCAAACAGAGCTGGATGTTTTTTTTTTTCTTTCGAAAATTACCTTGGCTCTAAGGTTGATCTAGCTTCAATGGGGTACCAGGTTAAGTCCTGGAAATACAGGTGGCTAGCGTGACACTGCCCACCTGCCAACTGGTCTATAAAATATAGGTCGAGCATCATATGTCCAATATACCTGAAAGTGTGGAAAGGGGATAGTTTGCAACTCACTTCATACCCTCCTCCTCTTATTTACCTGAACCTGTAATTTACTTGCTTTTTATTTTCTGGACCTCCCTTTCTTCTTTGGATCTGTGGAGTTCTAGGATGAAGACGTTCCAGATATAACATGGGAATCATCGGGCCACACACAAGTTTATTAAACTGATCACATCTGCTTAGATGTACACTGCACTGATACACAATTTAAAAAAAAATTTATATTGTATGCATCTCTGTTCTACAGACAATTAATTTCATTCATAAACCTAGCTGTAATATAGTGCTCTCTTTTACAGACATAATCAAACTTTCAAACACCCAACTGTAATACAGTGAAGTAAATAAAGCTAGTAAACTTAATTAGTGACTGAACCATTTCTTCACATTTCTGTAACACCTGCAGTGGAGCAGGAAAAATATAATACACCACAACAGTTTACAGTGTGTTAGCTGACAGTGAATTTTATAGTTGCTACAAAACACGGGGAAGTTTTTCCAGCATTAAATAATTTGTTTTTCTTTCTTTTCATTCCAAATGTACAGAAATGAGTATAAGTACATCCACAATATTAATATATTCAACAGGAAAACAAACACAAAGAAAAAGACAAGTCTTTTTTTTTTTTCATTTTCAAATCTCAGTACAGTCTCACAGACAATATAAAACCGGCAGACGTACCTGTTAGTATTGTCACATCTTTCCCCTATATGAAAAAACCAATCACGTTACAAAGCTCTTGACTTGAAACAACTAATGATCTCACACATTCCTCTCCTAAATGAAACAACCAATCATCTAACATGGCTCTCCTATTACATGAAAGAACCAATCATCTTACACAGCTCTCAATAAACCAACCAATCATCTCGCACAACCCGCTCCTGCATGAAACAGCCATTATTTTACACAATTCTATCTCAATAAACCAAGCAATCTTCTCTGTATCAGCATGGAAACATCTACCACAAGTGCTTGCAAAAAAGAACTGATTGGCCATGGATGCCAAACAAATACGAACATCACGTAGGCGTAAATAAATTGCTGGGAAATCTTGAAGCTACTGGAAAAGTCAGATACGACATTATCTGGAGGAATTAGATTAAATTCTAGATATGGTGGTGGCTAATACTTTTGATCTTCACACTGTCTGGCATGTCCTCCTGTATTTTCTTCTTTCTTCTGCAGCAATGAGTATCTATATAAGTACACTTCAACTTTTTACAAGACTTTATATAGCATGGCACTTAAATGTAATTAGCTGTCAGTTCAACTGTTCTGGTAAAGAACAAGAGAAAAACAAATTAAAATAATCAGTAAAAATAAATTTCACTAATTGATTTTTTTTAAATCTTGTGTAGAAAAACATAACTTTCATCCTACACGGATATCTTTTAAGTACTCCAGTCCCCTCATAACATATACTAAGGTTTACAGAGTTACTAAGGCTGAAAATAATATGGCTCCCAAAGTCTTCTTCAAGCACATCAACGTGATTTACATCTTTAGAACCCTCAAACTTAAATAAAATAGGTTAATCAGATCTATAAAAAGTGAGATGAGGAAAGCAGAGAAGTAGATTTGTCTCAGTCCTGTACACAGTCATGCTTTGATGAGATCTATAATGTATGTCACCTCATGCAAAACATATCAAGATGACAGTTCAAATGGCATAAGGAGAAGAAATAGTGAACAAATATTTTCTTTGATGTTAGTTCTAGAGCTACTCTCCTAATTTTGTAGGTATAAAGACAAAATTATGGGTAATCTGAGTTGTGAAAAAAGTCCTTTTTGTGTGAAGATACTGTTTTGGAAAGTCCTTTATTTTTGGTACCAAGTGATGGTGCTTTGTGACGATTTCTAAAATATCTTCCGAAAAAGATATCATTCACAGACTGAGTGTAGATTTTATTCATACATTATCGAGTTTATATCAATTTGTAATTCATTCTGGATCTATTTTATGGAGTGTTCCTTGAGCACCATGATGGTGAGTGGAAAAGAAAAATTATTTTACTAACTACTCTAAACGCGTTGGGAGTTTATTAAATAATATTCAACTACTAAACAGATTATTTGTTGTTGCAGCATTGTAATGTATTCTTTAATATTCCAGGTCATGCTGATGTATAATATGTGTATGTTACTCAGCAGCTGTAGTTGTAGTCTGTTTTAATGTGATATACTTGCAAAATTTCAGAATGTTATTACAATGCCTTGGTCCTCTGTGCTAAACCTTGTACTGAACGAGTCAATAAACAGACCTCAAGAATAAAACTGGCAGACTATCAGTGCTATAAAATACTGTAAAAATAGTTGATTTTCAAACAAAATGTTTGTGTTTTTTCCTTCTGTGATACAAGCTATGCAATATATATTCATTACCTTTGCAGGTGAATGCCACTACACTAGACGTGTGATTTACCCCCACCCAACAGGCGCATTTTGAGGCTGGCTGAAGCTTTATTTATAAAAATATGTAATCCTTTCTTATGCAGACAGAAAGAGTTAACTGTTGATTAGAAGTTACCCTAGTAAGTCAGGCGACTATCATAAGCTCCCGACGTCTTGAAAACAATGGATTGAAAGAGACCATTTTGTATTTCGGCTGAGTTTACTAATTTTTATAAGCATAAGCACAGTAGTTAGTGCAGATAAATACCATCCTAGTGGTCAAGATGTAGGAATTTCTTTTTAAAATTACAATGTCTATCAGGCAGACCCAGCCCTTTGACGTGCCTCCATCTTAGAGCACAGCATTTCAATGAGCAATGCCAATGAAGAGCTACTGGTAGGGTCCCTCTTGTTAGACAAGTTACGGCAAAGGAACCCGGTACAGAGACTCACAAGTTTGCGCCTAATAAGCAGACTGAATCGACTGACCAATCTGTCTCCTCTGGGTTGCTATCTAAAGGTTTACCACTCTATCCTGAGATTAAAGAATCTCAACCTTTACAGCAGACCAACAAGGCAAATTCTCCATATCCTGTTCAACCTCTACATAAGTTATAATTAGGGCACCTAAACGGCCATACCAGCCTGGTGTAACCTGCAATCCTAAGGGGGTAAGGACGTCAGCAGACTGCAAACAAGTCAGACCAGTGAAAGCAAACCCAAAACAATGCTTGTCTTCACCTTCTTCTTTTGTTCACTGGCTGTAAGCTCCAGTGAAAAGTCCTGTCTGTTTGTCTACTTGCTTTGTGCAGGAGCCTGAGCTTGACATGAACATCCATTTTACTGGCTTATTTGTGTGCAGTTGGTTCTTCCTTGCTGCTTGTGCAGATGCACTCTGACATCAAAAGAAGCTCCCAATCAGTCAAATCCTAGGAATAGTATGCTACAAATGCACTTGTTGGGGAGGCAGTGGATCTATTCTTGTTTTCCTCACAATGGAGCCCCACATGGGGACAATGCTTGTTGAAATTGTAAGAGAAAACACACGATGTGCTAAAGCAGCCAGGTACTGGGACAACTAAAATCAATTAAAGTGACAGCAAAAACAAATCCTCTGCTTCTTAACAAGTATGCTGTAACAGACTAGTTAAGTTTCTCTGAGATCACATGTGTCAGGCCGGCTGGTGAGATACTGCAGACTAGCTGTAAACCAAAAAACAATATTTCAGCCATCCTTCAAAGGGCAAACACAGAAGAAAAAGTCTGCATCCAGTTAGATTTTAACAAGTGACCTCGGCACCCAGCCTAACATGGGTATCAGGAAATGTCATGGAAGTAAGTGACCACATGACCCACTGAGTGCTGATTAATCTTTAAAAATTTGAATCTAGCATTGTATGGAGAGTGAAAGGAACCATTTCTTTTCAACTGTACATTTTCATCAGCCAACAAAAATCTCATACAATTCACTAAAGAGCAGCAGATAAGAAGGTTAGCCCATTTGATGTGAATACTACCCTGATACTACTAACTCAACAGATAGTCACACTAAAGAAATACAATAAACACAGAGCAAAGGGATGCACGGGGAAAAAAATCAAGATCATCTTATACAACAGATCAGAAAGAGCACATAAAAGATCCTTACATCTCGATCTCCATCCAACTCTTAGACGAGGCAACTGAAGGAAAAGCAAACAAAGAAAAACACGAACTTCCCAATGATATGAACAGCAATAAAATTTGACATGAAAGGTAGTGGATAGTAGTAGTAGACACATCACACTTTTGTGGAATATAAATATATGACATCAAAGTCAACCTTTTTAAAGTTTCACCTACACATTAAAAATGTTACTTTACTGTCAGTATCAGAAATATTAAAACACAAAAACTGATACACTCCAAGTCCATTCTCCCTTGAACCTGAAAAACAATAATTCAAGCTCATTAACTCTTAAAATCCCAAGTAACTAAGTTTTAGCATTATTTTCATGGCCTGCAGTCCAGTCCTAGTTCTCCATCTTGTTTCATCCTTTGTAATCCTTCCAATATCATGAATAAAACCTAAAGACAAAACACTGCAACACCTTTGGCTTCTCTCAAAAAAATTCTTCTTAGACATCCTTGTTTCTGCAATCCCTTTGTTTTCCATTTCAAAATCACTGACTGCTCCTTTATTCTCAGGATTACCCAAAACAGTGCCACCCTCTATGAGTTTAAAAGCAATAAATACTGAGGTCTGAAGGAGTTCCACTGAGACACTATGGGACAGAAGACTAATAATTCTTATCAATCAATCAGCATGCCCTTTACAGAATGTAGCTCTCCTCATGGCCCGCCTAAAGTCTCTCTTTCACTAACCAATTCTCCAGTCCCAAGTGCTTCCCTAGTCAATGCTTCTTCGATGTCCTGTATCTGCCTTCACAGAGGTCGACCTCTGCCTTGGTTTTCAATATAAAGGGTTAATATAATTGAACAGTACTAAAAGAGTTAATTAACACTCACAGCTGCACTGTTTCTCATTGTGTGGTGACAACAGAAAGCTGATTACACAATTAAAAATTAGTTTCTAATAAAGAAAGTATTAATATTTGCCTCCCATGGATGCATTAAAAAAATATATTAATGAAACCATGGCAATTTGAAGAGAAAAAAATCTTTCTTTACAAATCAACTTTACACAGGTAACCAATGATCTGTTTAAAAATTTATTTATATAGTGTTCAATCTTGGTTTGGAAATACTTAACGATATGTACAGGAAGTAATCAATAAACAAGAAATGGGTGAAGCATTAAATAGAATGCATCACTGGGACCTAACACAAATATGTACTGAGTAACTTATGGTGCGACCCGGTGACCTCTATACAATCCCTGAGGCTTGCGGGAACATTATGTGCCAATCACAATCCCTGAGGCTTGCGGGAACATTATGTGCCAATCTGACTTATAAAAAGGTCTTGGATTTACAAGGAAATCTCTCTAAATGCTATATTTAATTAATATATTTATAACAGACCCTCCAAAACACTATATAGGTACATAGAGAGCAAAAGGAATTTAACTTCATATTTAGAGAACACATCACTGCAGAAATGGCGATATCATTTATGAGGTCACGGCTGGAAGTGACTAGATTTAGCCATCTCGGAGTGAAAGGATTAAAAAGAAGTAAGAATGCTTGAAACTTATTCAACTCATTTAAATGAAATGTGATTTTTAAAGCGCTGTCCAAATATGGTCTGCTGATCACTGCCAGCTGTTTTGTGTTAATGATCTTTTTATGTTGGGGCTCGGACCTCCAGCCCGTTACACTCCCCATTTTCAACATTTTGGCATATGAGTCAACTCAGATAAGCCCTGCTCTAAGGTTTGAAATGATGCATTTCAATATCTATTGCTACACATAACCATTACATTTCTTCACAGACAACATCAAAATTCACTGACTACTTCTACAGCCAGTATGCAAACAATTTAGAAGCGAAATCTAAATTAAAGTAATGCTGACTGTATCATATCATAAATAACCAATCATCCGCAAGCTCAGTATACAATGTTTTCAGCTACAGTGCAAACCTCTGATAAAGCAAATTTCTGTTGTAAGAACACTTTATTTATCCCCTGCAAATTTTCTTGCTCAAACTCTGGATAACAGGAATTTCTGTTAAGAAGAACCATTTCTTGGATACCCGGTGAGTTTCCTTATCAGGTCTGCACTGTATTCATTTGTGAATCTTTGCAGGTTTCATTTCTTTTACTTTCTAGCAGCTGATTTTTATATTTGTAAGCTTTTAAATGTTTCAAAACTTATTACTTGCTTACTAATTCATGAATACATGCATGGCCACATACAGAGTTGATACAGGATTCTAATATTGTCATAGTACATTATGTTACATGCAGTAATTCAAATATTAGACATTTATTGCGTATTTCTGTCATGGAATATTCTTGCCAGTACTTTTCCGAATGCAATTCACATGATGACCTCATGCACGTTGATACATTCAAAAACTAACTAATTCCCCTTTTCCCATGTCACTTACCTTTGGTTGTAGATAATGCAAGTCTTCGCAGACCATACATTTAATATATCATACTTCTTTTACCCCAATGTAGATAAATGTAAGATCTTGTGTTAACATATACTTGGCATAACTTTCCTATTCTCTACCCAGCATATGGATAATGTAAGATTCTGCAGTACGATACATTTGGTGTACAACTTCTGTTCTACCCCAGCATATGGATAATGTAAGATTCTGCAGTATGATACATTTGGTGTACAACTTCTATTCTACCTCAGGATGTGGATAATGTAAGATTCTGCAGTATGATACATTTGGTGTACAACTTCTATTCTACCCCAGGATATGGATAATGTAAGATTCTGCAGTACGATACATTTGGTGTACAACTTCTGTTCTACCCCAGCATATGGATAATGTAAGATTCTGCAGTATGATACATTTGGTGTACAACTTCTATTCTACCTCAGGATGTGGATAATGTAAGATTCTGCAGTATGATACATTTGGTGTACAACTTCTATTCTACCCCAGGATGTGGATAATGTAAGATTCTGCAGTATGATACATTTGGTGTACAACTTCTATTCTACCCCAGGATATGGATAATGTAAGATTCTGCAGTACAATACATTTGATGTACAACTTCTATTCTACCCCAGCATATGGATAATGTAAGATTCTGCAGTACAATACATTTGATGTACAACTTCTATTCTACCCCAGCATATGGATAATGTAAGATTCTGCAGTACAATACATTTGATGTACAACTTCTATTCTACCCCAGCATATGGATAATGTAAGATTCTGCAGTACAATACATTTGATGTACAACTTCTGCAGCATGATACATTTGGTGTACAACTTCTACCCCAGGATGTGGATAATGTAAGATTCTGCAGTACGATACATTTGATGTACAACTTCTATTCTACCCCAGGATGTGGATAATGTAAGATTCTGCAGCACCCCACATTTAGTGTACAACTTCTATTCTACCTCAGGATGTGGATAATGTAAGATTCTGCAGTACAATACATTTGATGTACAACTTCTATTCTACCCCAGGATGTGGATAATGTAAGATTCTGCAATATGATACATTTGTGTACAACTTCTATTCTACCCCAGGATGTGGATAATGTAAGATTCTGCAGTACGATACATTTGATGTACAACTTCTATTCTACCCCAGGATGTGGATAATGTAAGATTCTGCAATATGATACATTTGATGTACAACTTCTATTCTACCTCAGGATGTGGATAATGTAAGATTCTGCAATATGATACATTTGTGTACAACTTCTATTCTACCCCAGGATGTGGATAATGTAAGATTCTGCAATATGATACATTTGTGTACAACTTCTATTCTACCCCAGGATGTGGTACATTTGATGTACCACTTCTCTTCTAACCGGCGATGTGGATAATGTAAGATTCTGCAGTATGATACATTTTTGTACATCTTCGACCCCAGGATGAAGATGAATGTAAGACCCTTCAGTATCATATATTTGACATATCTTTCCTCACCTACCTCAGGGTGTGAGTTAATGTATGATACCCCCCCCCCCTTCCCAAGTAACATACATAGTTTTATTATACCTCTTCTATTCCTGGGTGGAGACAAATGTGTGATTCTGCAGGGCCACACATCTGACATTATGTTGCCACCCCCCCCCCCTCCTGTGTCAGTCAAATTTATGATCCTACATTATCATTTATCTGGTATATCACCCCGCTTCTACCCCAGGATGTAAATAAATGTAAGATCTTGCAGCACAATACATCTGACATTATCATTCCTCTTCTACCCCAAGGTGTAGATGGATGTACTACATACATTGCATACCATTCCTTAGCATAAAGAAAGGAACACTATCTAAACTCCTCAGACCAAAAGCACAATTACGACTCCAAGAACTCTGTTAATCCATATTTAGAAGCAGTTAGTGATATCACCCTAACCAATAAACAGCCGCAACAAGGCAAGCCAAATCAACATCATTTACACAAGAAATTACCATTGTCTTGATTACATTCTAGACAACACAAAGCTAACATATATACAGCCAAATACGCTTCAATATCAATGTTACACACAAACGTCAGTGTGTTACTATTTTTACAATAAAACACTAAAGATACAAAAGGAAAGAAGCATCACACTATTACACAAACAGCAACTCCACTCATGTCAAGGAGGCACATCATGTACACATAATACATCTTCAACAGTTGCTGTAAAGGTGAGGGGTCAGGATCCGCTTGATTCAGCAGTACTTTTCACAATCTTGCTCTGCAGAAAGACAAAACAAAATTAACTGCTTTGCTAGCCCCAGTAAATTAAAATATAAATTATTTTGGGAACGTAAGGGAATGGACCACTTCACCGCAAATGTTGTGGCCTAGAATGTAAAAAGGCCTCACACTTCTCACCCCAACAGTAGTAAGTTGTATGGGGAGACCTGCCACAAATACCTATATAACCTATATGTCCCTTTGCTACATGGGATGTCTACCGCACTCATATGTACATACATACACAACTCATACATACCTACACCCCCACCAATATACACATATTTCCCTTTTTTTTTTCATTTACTCATTTGATTATGTCTTACAAGCTTTAATCTCACAATCCGTTGTGTACACTTTTTTTGTTAAATTTAAGAATAAAAAAATGTCAGGCACTTGAGGTTATTTGTAAAAATCTACTATTCTTACTGTACACACTAAAGGAATACTAAACAACTGCAGTAGTGTACAATTCTAGACAGGCATCATTACAGTCTTCTGGCCACAAGCAAGAACTGCTAAATGTTGAATGAAGAATCAACATCACAGCACTCGGTAAACTACCATAAGTGCCCCGTCCCCACCTTCAGCAGCAAGTGAAGAGTTCAGATTCCGATGGCACCAGTACCGGTCTGATTGTATATCCGTCTCATCCTTCCCCTGAGTGCTGAGCGTCGGCCAGATCCCCTGTTAACTCCTCGCAGCACCATTCTCCTCAAACCGTAATGATCCATCTGTGCCTTCCCACCGTTTACTCGTTCTCAAAGAGCCCTTACAATATCAAACTTGTCGTACATCAATTCACCACCAAGTGGTGTATAACCAGCCAGTCTATCTGCCTGCTCATTTCCCAACACACCAGCAATACCTAGAGAAAATATCCAAAGGATGCTAACTACGCGGGACATTTATCTAAAACAAGCAAGCATATATTCTATTCTGTAGCAGCAGTAGATCTATCTTCTAGATCTATCAGCCTGCTTGTCATCTCGCACACCTGAATGTCCTGGACAGAAATTCCATGATATGCTCTAGACTTGGGTCTTATCAAGTGATGCAAGTCACTCTGCACACAGGACACCACAACACTGGTGTTTGTGTAGGTATGTTTGCAGTAAGAATTCTGCTTTATCTGGTAACCAGTCTCCTGTATCAACTGGAATAAAACTTCCCTATGCATAATTTTATAAATGTGTGACATCTAGGTTTATCCTTATCACCTACCTTGTGTTTTGGACACAGCAGTGATAGTTTCTCTTCATCCATAAAACAATCTAGAATTAACAAAAAGACAAGTTGCTGAAGAGAACTGATTGAAAAACTAATTACTGACAATAAGATTCTCTTTGCTATTAAAGAATGACTGTCATGTAGCTGGTACTTTGCAGATGCTGCTCCCATAAAGATCCACTAGTTTGACTTTCTTCTTCTTCACATTCACCAGAAGTAAACTCCGGCCAAAGGTTTTGGTGGAGATCACCCATTTCTACCAGAACTTGAGTGTTGCCTGTGCATCCGTTTTACATATCTGGCTTCGCTGTATGCAGAATGTTAGTTCCTTGCCACTCAGGAAGATGCACTCCTACTTTGAAGGAAATCCACAATTAGTCTACTCTTTTGACATTAAAGAGGAGTGGGTCAATTCCTGTTCACCCCATAATCATGCTTCAGAACCCACACGGGGGAATCCTGTCTTTCCACTACTGCTATTTCTGAGTTCTTCTTCTTCTTTGTTCACCGGCAGTAAGCTGCAGTGGAAAGTCCTGGTTGTTAGTCCATCTAGACTTAGGCTTTCTGCCAGGGCATGGGTTTTGCATGTACATCCGTTTTACTGACTTATTTGTGTGCAGTTGGTTGTTCTTTGCCACTCGGTCAGATGCACTCTGACTTCGAAGGAAGTCCCCAGTTAGTCGGCTCCTACAACATGCTTGCTGGAAAGGCAGACTATTCACAATCTTTTTATCTAAATGCTAATATATACTTCTGAATTCTGCTGTAAGTCAAGAAACTAGGATCCAGATCTCTTGCATCATGTAACACTTTCTAATCCTCTGTAATCTAATCCCTGCGAGCACTGGGTTGGAGTATGTTCACACTGAAGTCTATAAAACCTACAGAGGGAGCAGTATCACCCAAGGTCGAATCCCAGGCTGCAGAAAAAAAATGCTGATTCATAATCTGGCTTCATCCTAACATGACCCTTCCCCATGTATGTTGTCCAACAGATTCCAAGAAAATGCTTAACAAGGTTCAGACAGGATGGGTTCAAAGGCAACAGTTGGAATCTCTGACAAATTCTTGTTTGACAGGAATAAATCTCACTTTTGTGCCCAGAGACACTGAGGTAAGAGGAAATGAGTTGACTGGCCAGCTGGCAGGGCTACAGTAGGCATGGGAAAAGCAATGGATCATGTCAATGTTCTCAATGCTCTCTTCATAAGACTACAGGAACTTCATGTCAATGAAATATCGCCAGACATGAACACTGTACAGGCAGCAAAAGAAGAACAGTAAATAAACATAGAACTGGTGTTATGAGTCGCCACATGTTGAGGAAATAATAAAGATGAGATCCAAACGTTTATGGACATTACAAATGTGTCATGAGGATAATCGCTCAATTGACTAAGTCTCTTCACAGATGTGGAGTTCCTGGACTGGTCTTGCGAACACCATTGGTTTCTGACCCCCAATAGGGGGAAAGAAGAGCATTTTAAGGCGGTCTTTATGGAAATGGTGCTTTGGAGACGCATGGGGAAAAATCCTCAGTTCTTTAATAACATCTTACCCCAGATGAGGTCACAGGACAGTCCAACATTTAGCGTTTCCAAGCTTTCTGATGTTTTTAATGACCTCAAAACATCTAGAACTGGTTACAAACCCAACCTACCTACTACCTAATACAGCATGCAGCCTAGGTCCCATGACTGCATGCAGCCTATCTACCACACCCTGAAATATTAGACTGTCCCGTAACCTGTGAATTTCCCCTATTTGGGGTAGGACATTAGTATGCACCAAAACCTCTACACCAACATCGTAGAGCTAACTTCATCCAAGCTTAGATCCCTTCTGAATCAAATGGGCCATCTGACCAAGCAGACTGTTTTCCAGTAAATCTCAGGCCACTGTAACATTACAGGAAATGAAAGGGCGGACTTATTAGCAAAATTTAGGAGCAATACCGAACAGCCAGGTGCAAGATGCATTTATAAGGAAAGCCTTTTTTCCCCAGCTCTATCATGACCTGAACTCTACTGCACTTGTTGTCAAAGATTTAACCTTCCAGGAGATCATCAATCAACCAACTAAACAATTACAAGTAGGGTAGGCGGTTTTAGCCATTAGAGATAAATTTAAAGACCTGGCCTGAAAATTGGGTGGCAACTGCCTGGGAACATGGCCTTCACCCTACAGTAAACACTAAAAAAATCTTTATAAAAGGCTGCGGAACAAAACTGTCATATTGACATTTTGTATTTTTTTTTTCAAATTTCATATCCTCATGTAACAGGTCATTTGTTGCCCTCATTATGGCAGGCCAGAAAGTCTTTCAGTTACTTATCAACTTTCCCGCCATATGAACATTCATACTGATGCATCACTATTTATCCACCACTATGGCATTTAATATGGCCAAAGTACTTGAGTGTTCTGAGAAACAATAATGTCAGCCTACCTTTGTCTATGGCACAGATGAAGTGATATTTCATGCAGCAACCTTTGTGGAGACACCCTATCATTGCACCTTTTGATTTACATGCTGAACAAACCTGTGTGATCAGATAAAGTCAATATCACTTTCAACAACAACAAAACTCACAAACAAGTTGTAATAACAAGATCAAACTAACAAAAAAAAAAAGAAGTTAACTAACCAACTTCTACACTGAAATTTTCTTCAGATTCTCGCAAATAAATTTTCACAAACTTATAAACTAGGAAACAAATTAATATTTGTTGAACTAACATTATAGGGTTTAAAAAAACATCATCATCACCTTAACTTCGACAGCTAAAATCACGGGAGGGCAGTCAAATGCCAGTGAAAGCAAACCAGAAAAAAAAAACATCCCGCTAAAATCAAATATACTATGCTGCATGCAGGCTTTGACGAAACTGCAAAATAAGATCCCTCTTTAAAAATAATCTTGGCTTCCAGGTTGACCCAGCCTTAAATGGGTACCAAGCAAAATCCTTGGAAGTAAAGCTGACCTAGTGCCATGCTGACCGCCTCACCCATCAAGTGCCGATTGGTCTATAAAATGTAGGTCTAGCACTTTATATCCAATACAATTAAGTGCCAGGAAAAGAGCCCTTTTCTTTACTCATATACCGATAAGATAGTGATAATTACGAATGCAAAGGAACTGAACTTACCGTTTCTTCTGCATCTCTGACGGCTTCATCCAACCCAAACAGCTTGTTGTCTATTAAGTACACTCCTGGTGCCCACATAGCACATGCCTCATGGACCCACACTTCTTCAGGAGGTACTGGGCTGGGCTCACTAGACCGTAACTGTAAAGGTGACTTTCCTTTACGGCTACTTCTCTTATCCGGCGGAGATGTTTCTTTTGATAGTTTTGCCCCTAAAGAATCTGAAATTCTTTGGTCTCTACCAGGTTCAGTTCTTTTACTCTCCTCTGCGGCAATCATCTCAACTCTTGGAACCTCACTTTCTTTGAAGTATGGCCCATATAAATCCCCCAGAAACCCATAGCTGCTTTGATGGCCACAAAAAGCACACACCCACGGATTGTTACTGATAGTACGAGAAGAAGAAATCATGGCTGCTTTGTCTGTAGGTAAATTGGTTACCATGTGAACGGTTGTTGCAGCAGAATGCAGGTGGGCGTTTCTGTGTTTTGAGTGTTTATGTTTCCCGCTACCCACACCCTTAGAAGACTCGTGAACAGGTTGCACAAACACGGAAACAGAATCTGGAGTGCTCTGTTTCCCTACAACGCGAATAAAAGGGCCTACAGACTGCTGTTCTCGTTTTTTACGAGATTTTATTAAATCAAGAGTCCTGCTGAACTTCATTGATTTAAACGAGTCTCTGACTTCAGTGTCTCTATTGATCTTTTCTGGTGCTTTGGTTTTATGTTTACTTTTAACTGCTTTCCTTCTGGATGGCTTCTTTTTGTGCATTTTGTTTTTATGACTGATAGCTTCAAATGAGGAAGATGGTTTAACACCATTCTCTTCGACTGCTTCCTCACAGTCCATTTTAATACATTTGTCATTTTCAGCATTATTGAATGTGATAACAAAGTCATTATTTTCAGATTTGAACTCGGGCTCTTGGTTTTCTGATTTATCTGTAACCAAATCCTTGAAACTTACAGGAGTTGCTGCATTTGCTTTCTGGTCCCTCAAGGGACTGGAACTTTCAAGTGGGTCACAGTGGTCCACTTTTTCCTGCTTGACAACGGCAGATGGTGTCCCAGCTATGGGAGATTTCTCTAGCACTACAACTGGGTATTTGCCATCCTGTCTGTGTCCTAAAATTGATGGTCTGAACCTAGTAGAATTCTTATTTCGTTCTCGGAAACTTCTCATTGTTGAGTTGGCTGCAGTCTGATCAGGTCTAATGCAGGCAGACACTGTAGTCACTTGTATGCTATCACATGTGAGATCAATAATGGTGTCATCTTCTTCATTAACACTGCCGGCTAGAGATTTTCTGGAACCTGCCGAACTGTCCCATTTTGTCTGAGCCTTCTGCTCTGATGAGCGGCGTAATCTTTTTGGAGGTGGGGAAGACAGTACCGCTTCAGTAACAGGGCTCTGTTTATCTGACTCTGGCGGTGATTTAGTGTCTTGCTCATCATTTGTTTTATCTTCTTCTTCTTGTACTTCACTGGCACTAGAAGGTATCGAAAGTGAAGCCGGTTCTTCAAGTGTTGCGTCAGCTGCTTCTTTAGCCGAGTTACTGCCATGTCTGACCTCACCAGCCGAAGCAACTGACTCATCACTACTGCAGTTATTTATAAAAATATCAGAACTGTCGACACCCTCGTAATAGCAGGTATCATCATCACTGACAACTTCATGCCCGTAAGAGACACATTCCCCACTGCCTGAAGTCACTGGTTCTACTCGTTTAGAGCCGCCATCACCCACTTTCACTGTGCTTGTCATATTATTCATATTTGCCTTCTTGTGGTCAATATGCTTTGCTGCTTTTGCTGGTTTTTTCCTATTCCCATCTTGTGGACTCTCAGAAAATCCAAAACTATTCTCAGACAAGTTTTCTAAGCTTTCATCAGAATCCCCATTTCCGGTGCTGTCATTCCGATTTCGCCCGCTGCAGACGACATTTGAGGTCCTCAGTGTTCTGCAGAATCCATTGTGCCGAAAGGCAAATCTATCACAAGCCGCCCGTTCATCAGCACCAACAGCGATACTGCAAGGTGTAACATGGGCAAACTGGGACATTTTTTTCACACTAGCCAGCTTTGCTTTCACCAAAGAATTTAAGGCATTCTGTATTCTTGCGTGCACCCCATTTCCACAATCTTGCTCAAGGTCATCGTCATTACCACACGTTGTACTGGACAAACCATTATTTACAATCGGCATCTCTGACAGCACACTTGGGGAATGGCACTGAACAATTAAACATTTTGTATCGTCCTTCATTTTGCCAATCTTTCTATCCTTAGAATATAATGAGTTCTGACTATCAATTTCTACTGCCTTCTCAGTTCTAAACCCTATCACTGTATTAATATCAGCATCTTCTAGTGGCAAAATGTTAGGCATTACAGACATTTCACTGTCTTTATCTGCATCACCTGCCTCAACATTGGCATCCGTAATGCATACTGCATCTAGACCTGGGTTATCAGCTGAAATATTCTCATCCTGACTAAGCATAAGGTGTGTGGATTCTTGCTTTGCTGACTCCTGGGGGGTGTGAGTTTCCTCTATTTTTTCCTCACTTCTGTCACAGGCTGACTGTTCTACAACATTAAAATCAACCCTATGATTACCAAACTCATGGTCGGAAGGTTCAGCTTCACCACCCTGCTTTGGATTTGTGTTTCTTGAACTGCCACCCCTGTGGCTGTAATTATTAACTACATTGTATTGTGAATGTCTTGGTGCCTGACTATCTGAATAAGAATTACACAGATAATTGGACGAGACTGAAGTTCCAGCATCAGTGTTTTCTGGTTGAAATGACTGATAGTTATTTTGTGGATGGCTTCTATGAGAGCTAGTGTGACCCTGAAACCCGACAGAATGGCATGAGCTCTCCGCAAGCCGTTCTGCTGGGCCATTACCGTTTTTTGGACTCTCATCGTGTTGGGAAGAGAGGCAGGTGTCATTGACAACACTTTTTGGGTCAATTACCTGTGTTTCTGGAAGCATCACTAGCTTCTGTAGCGACATCAGTGGGTTAGTATCCATGTGTAGGAACGAAACAGAAGGATGAGAGTTGGTGGACTGTGCCATGATGTGTTTTGATGCGCCTGTTAAAGACAGATTGCTTGAACACGGACTAGAAGACGCTGGACTTGTGTAACTGTGCTGATGAAGGTCTGAACACGATATGCTGTTGGGGTCACAAGATGGGGAGTACACTGAAGAATTCCTGTGCACTGAGCCGGAAACACTAAATGGCGAATAACTGTGTACTGGTGCCATGCCACAAGGAGAGTAATGCAGAGTATCGGAAGGAGACATCCTATGATGAAGCGGCAGGCCATCACTGCTACACTGCGTGGGTGGACCCCCTTGACTGTGTCCGCTGTATGTTGAGCCCATGTGGGCGGGAGAGCGCTGAGTGCCACAAGGTGACATGCCTTGATTGCAGGGTGATCGCAGGCCACTAATGCCTGGTGATGGGATCGGATTGGGAATAGGTACTAGAACTGGCGTGGGTGACTTCACGCTGGCTGAAGAGGGTGTTGGGCTGGCCTGACATGATGCAACCGGGCTGGTTGGCGACATGTGAGGGTGGTCACCGTGTGACATGCTATAATGTGGAGATCGGGGAATATGATAAGGAGCAGGGCGGCTCTTCAGGGGAACCTGAACCTGAAATACAACAGAATACAACTTTATATAACAACTTATTTACATAGATACTGTGATTTGTTCTATAATAACTTAGTAACATAGATGCTGTGATTTGTTCTATAACAGCTTAGTTACATAGATATTGAAATACAACAAAATAAAACTTTATATAACAACTAAGTTACACAGATATTGTGATTTGTTCTATCTATAATCATCTTCTTCTTCTGCCTTCGATGGCTATGGCCACAGACTAGTACAGTCACTGCCCAGAAGGGAAGCACAGGCAAACTACCTTCTGCAAAACTTGTCAAGAAACCATAACAGCATGAAAGAAAACACTGAAACGTCATGAAAGAACAATAATGGAATGTTATATGCCTGAGAAGAAGGGAAGAGGAAGGCCAAAGAGAAGATGGGTGCAGGATGTGGCAGATGATCTCCAGATGGGTGTATCTGCTGATGCGGGACATCTTGCTTGTGATGAAGTTTTCAAGAGGGTGGTTTTGGCAGCAAGGTTCTGCAAAAGACATGCTACCGACTGACTTCTGCCTTTTATCTCCCCGTGTAGCACTGCTCTGTCTCACACACTGTGGGACATGAGACAATCCTCAGTAAGACACAAAAGTTTATTTTTTTTCTTCTTCTTTGCGTTCGGTTTTGTATGCTCAGATCAGACCATCAGGTGGGTTGCCTCTATGAACTCGCATGTTCTGTACACTTTGCCCTTGAGGCCAGGTGTCTTTTCGGAGTTGTAGGTAGAGTGGGCAGGTCTTCAGAATGTGCCCAGGTGTTTGTGTTCCTGTTTGACAGGCACACTGTGGGGACTGTAAAATCTGTATTTTAGTTAAAGAAGGTTTACTTTAAAATGCTAGCTTAACCACTGCATGGCAAGTGATTGGGCAAACGTACTGTTAGTAAATTAAACATCAATGTTTGTAAAATATTAGTAATGATAACAAAAATAAAACAGTACCAACAATAACAAATAAATACTGTCTGCCCAGCATGCTATACTCAGCATGAACAACACATCTAAGTAAACTAAATGTTCAATTATCCAATATAAAAACAAAACTAAAAACCATGAGATATGACGTGTTAGGCCTTTCCATAAATGAATTTCTGAGCAGTCACCATGATTAAGATTGGCTACAGTGCACCCCCTGTCATCTCTGAGACTATTAGGTGGCAAGGCCTTAATCTCTTCCCTGTTGCGACTCTCGTACAAGTGTATGCCAAACCACAATAAAGGTAAACCACCTACTGCAGAAATAGAACCACAGTATTCCAGGATCACAAAAATGTTAAATTCATTTCAGTCTCTCTGCCATACAGCCTTCAAGGCCTTTTTACATTCTATGCCAAAGCAGGTGGTTGATTGGCCAGTTACCCTCTTCATCTTTCTTCTAAGACAGTTTACAAAAAGGCAAACAGACTGGCTGGTTCTGCACCACTTGGTGGTGAACTGATACATGACACGCTGGAGGCAGTGAAGGACCACTGGGAGTGAGTGAACGAAGTAGAAGCACAAACAGATCATCAAGGTCTGAGGAGCATAGTTCTGCAAGGAGTGACCAGGAGATAGGGCTAATGCTCAACATTCATGAGAAAAGCTTGAGAGGTCAGAAACCAAAAGCGGAAAATCTTTAGTGCATTTGACACCTAGCATGAGAATGGACGTGGAGGCGGTAACTAGAGCTCTCCGGTATTTAGAGAACAAAATGCATACAGATGTTGTAATTGTAACAGACTCAAAGCATGCTGAGAAAAATTAAGACAAGGATGCTTCGAGCAGAGTGGCAAGCTTTACTGGGAAGGTCACGGGTAGTGAGCATACTTTGAATCTTTTCTCCAGGCCACGCCGGCGTAGTGAGTAATGAACAGGCAAACAGATTGATTAGATCTCCACCACTGGGTGGTAAATTGATACATGACAAGGCAGATGTGGTCAAGGTCCTTTAGGAACAAGTAACGGAATCAGTAGAGACAGAAGATTATTATGGCCTGGAGAGAATGAGGCACCTGGGTGTAATCAGAGGGTCTGGCCGGCTCACTACCCCCAGAGGAAAGGCAAGACGTACATATAACCAGATTGTGGTTGGTACCATCAGTATTGGAACTCTGCGCTGGCTGCTTAAGATGGGGACGGAAAACACATGGGAATGCTCTGAGTGCTATGATATCAATTCTTGACTCAACTTAACTCATGGAAAAGGCAAGACGGATGTATAATCAGACTGTTACTGGTACCATCAGAAATGGACAGTTTTCAAGCTACTCTCCAGTACCCTCAAGCTATCAAATGTTAGACACTGACACAGTGGTTAGTGAGCTCTCCCAATAGTGGCCTGACTCTAATGCCAAAATAAGCTCTAGACAACTTTCTGAAAAATGCTAAATATAACACAGTATGTGACTAGAAAGCTCAACGGGGGGAATGGAAAAGATGCACACAAAAACAATCGAAAGTTTCGACCAAAGTCTTTATCAGCGGAGTACTATATACAGCACCAACTGTGACTAGAAGACCCAACAGGCAAGACAACAGTTTGTGCTGTATTGAGAACTCTGTTGATAAAGACTTTGGTATAAACTTTGGGTTGTATGCGTCTTTTCCATCCCCTCGTTTGAGCTCTCTAGTCAAATTTTTTTTAAATATTTAGCATTTCTTGCAATCAGCTCAACTGCAATCACCTCTATTTATGTCATCACTTTCCTAAAAAAAAGCACGGGGAAGAAAATGACATAAATATCTCCTGAATGTCTTGGCCATGGACATTCTTCTTCTTGGCGTTTACTGGAAAGTTCTTGTTGTGCATCCACGTCTTGACTTTGTTTCAGAACTTGAGCTCTGGTTGACAAATATGTTTTACAGATCTGGCTTATCTGTATGCAGACTGCTGGTTTCTCACCTCTCAGGCAGGCAGACAGACGTATTCAGACTTTGAAGGAAACATCCCTAATTTGTTGATTCTTATAAAATGCTTGTCAGAGAAACAGTGAGCCTGTTTTTTATTGTTTCTCTTCCTATAGTTAAGCCCTGGAAACCACAACGGGAATAACCTGGACACATATACAAAAAAAGCACCAGCAAGAAGATAAAACTTGGAATTTTGAGAGCATGCATCTTCCCTGTGGCTACATACGGATGTGAGTCGAGGACTATCGCTCAGTCCTTAAAAAAGAGAATAGGGGCTTTTGAGCTGAAATGCTATAAAAAGATTCTCAGAATATCTTGGACAAAGAAGATGAGAAATATTGACATCTTAGAAGATCTGAACATCAAGGAAGATTGGCTAATAAACAGCATCCTTTCTCGAAAGCTGAAAAATTTTGGTCATATCAAGCGCCATGACTTTTGGAAAAAATTATAGCAGAAGGCATGGTATCAGGAAGGAGGGGCAGGGGCCGACCGACAAGAAGATGGGCACAAGATATAAGCGACTCCTGGAGTGTGAAAGTACGTGAGGCGGGAGAACTGGCGAGAGACCGAGTTTATTTCAGGCAGACGGTTATGAGAGCGACGTTCTGCAAAGGACCTGCTAGATGATGATGACAGAGGAAGAGAGAGAGAGAGATGTGTGTAAGGGTGATGTATTCTGATCTTCTTCTTCAAGTCCATACTGTGTGGCATTGGTAGTCATGTCTATCCACAACCTTATGTCTTGTGTACTTTCAATCACCTCTGATACAGATGATCCTCCATGCTGTGACGTCAACCTATCCACAAGTTATTATACACAATTTTTTCAACCCTGTTGCCCCAAGAAGTTGCAAAATGACACTTTCGTTTGGGTCAATTTCCCCAAGAGAGCCATTCTTCTGACTTGGCTATAGTGGCCCATTAATGAAACATCTAGCCAACAGTACAGTTATCGTTTGCGGGGCCAAGCATTGCCATATTTATTAAAATTAGTATTCAGAAGGGTTTTTCTGTGAAAAACTGCTTTACCAATAGAAATAATGATGTTGTAACTCCCAATGGTCAGTGTTAACCTGTGACAAGTAAAAAATAATACACTGTAAACATGCTTGTGTGCAGACTGTTGGTGGCTCACTTCTCAAGCAGATGCACTTTGACTGTGAAGGAAATACTGATCCTGTCTATGCTGGCCAGACCCCCAGTAAGGAATCTGTTTCTATGATGACCGCTGAGAAGTGCAGATACATCCTGACCCCAGTCCGTGTGTATCATGTGTGGTTCAGTACCTCTGTAGCCAACCAACAATTTTATATAAGTGGCTTTCAGACAGCTAAAATAAATTTATCAAGGTAAAAATTATAAAAAAAAGTTATAAAAATAAATAACACTACCGTTTGATTTGACGGATAAGATGATGCCATCTGCAAAATATTGTCTGCCACCTCCTGAGGATTCTGCTGTGTTGTTGTGTGCCTCATTGGGTGCTGGGGTACATGATGTGCTCGGGGCAGCATGTGAGGAGAACTCTGGCTGGCATAGCCACCACTATTCTGGTGAGGCCCACCTTGTGGCATGCTGTGTCCGGTACTGTGGGCATGCTGGCTTGCTTGTCCATGGATAGGCTGGTTAGTAATGCTGTGGTGGCCCTGGTTCTGCATTATCCCCATATGGGGTGGTTGCTGCTGCTGCGGTTGCATGTGAGGGTTTGCTTGACTATGACTGTAGCTGGAAGGTTGGCTGCTCAGTCCTCCATGGTGAGGAGTAGTGTGGGCTTCTGAAGGCATGCTTGGACTGTAATAGGGGCTTCCCATGTTGCCCCCGTTAATTCGACTTAAGTCACCTTGCCTGCTGCCCATCATAATGGATGGGTTCATTGCTGACATCCCATAATTCCCATAACTGCCCATGGTGTAAGGGTTGTTACTCTGCTGACCCATGAATCCACCTTGGCTGTACATGGCACCTGACTGCTGCATCAGTTGGTACGGTGACATCTGATATCCTTCTCTCGGATGCACCATTCTTGCCTGTTATAGAAATAAAATGACAGAAATATCTTTAAAACATTCTAACTACTAACAAGTGATTGAGAGATGAGAAAAAGATGCTGGTGTTGGATAGGACACACATCGTGAACACCTGATAACAATATAACTAGAATGTCTTTGTACTGAAACCCACAAAGGAATATGGCAGACCAAGAAACATGGAGAAGGAGTGGAGTGTGAGATTTAAAATATATGGAAGACATGGGGAGAACTGCATGCGATGGCAAAGAAATGGGATTACAGTGTGAATTAGCCAAGGATCTATGCTCCTTGGTGTGGGGGGGGGGGGGGGAAGGGGCAGAGGACGGAGAACTACTACTACTAACAAATTAGGCTGTAAGTAAAACATAAATTCTGCCTATTTGCCCAAAGGTAGTGAGTTCAAATCCCACTCAAAGTAGGCATTTATAAAACTGACCCCATCTCCCAAGTCAACTCAGTCAAAAACAGGAATTGTCCAGGACATGAATTTTGTGTGTACATCCATTTTTACAAATCTGACTTATCTGTATGCAGACTGCTGGTTACCTGCCTCTCAGGCAGAAGCACTGTGTCATTGAAGGAACACCACTAATGTGTTGTGTTTTATAATATATGTGTAAGTAAGTAGATCTATACCCCCCCCCCCCAAATAGGGGCGGGCCCTGGAAAGCAGACGGCGAGGAAATGTCCTGAGAAGTTTAAAGGTGGCAAGAGTTATGATGACCATTATCCCCACCGAGTGCAGACTGCTTTATTAGTATACAGGCTGAATCTAACACTATAAGTATAATGTGCTAATGACATGACTTTGAATGTGCATTGGCTATGAAAGCACACAGGGCTGGAGAACTGGCTAGAGAAAAAGGGACTTTCAGGTCAAGATTGCAACGTTCTGTAAAGGACATGCTCACTGTGAAACTACTAGCCATTGTAGCAGGCAAACAAAGCCAACATTACATCCTATCTCATACTAATGCAATGAAACACTACCGTAAACTGCAATGCTCTCCATACTGAAATGAAACAGTGCTAAACATTACCAGTTTCTCTTCACAGCCTCCATTATACCATCTTCTCTTCCCTGTGTGGGTTCCAGGGCCACACTGAGGGGAAAACAAGAACAGACCCACTGCCTCCCCAACAAGCATGTTGTAGGAGTTGACTAATCTTCATGAGCTGCAAGGAACAATCAACTGCACACAAACAAACTCGTAAAATAGATGTTTACACACAACTCTGACCCTGGACAAAGCCAAAGTCCAAATGGACAAACAACCAGGACTTTGCACCCAAGCTTACAGCCGGTGAACAAAGAAGAAGAGGAAGAGACTTTCTTTCTAAATGGGCTCCATTAGTGATGCAAAATTTAATACACCCCCTACTTTGGGATGCAAAATTTAATACACCCCCTACTTTGGGATACAAAATTTAATACACCCCCTACTTTGGGATACACAATTTAATACACCCCCTACTTTAGGATACAAAATTTAATACACCCCCTACTCTCCAACATGCATGTCAAAAAAAGGTCACTTATTAGCAGTTTGCTGAAACAGAATGTGTCAGACCGAAAAATGCAGATACTGCAGTCTAGCTGTAAACCACAACACAGCCTGCCACCCCAATTTTAAGGGCAAATGCAGAAACAGAACTGACCCTATCTTACATTATTAAAATGAAATAGCACTCACCATTTCAGTTTGCTTTCCATAGCCTACCTTATATCAATAACTAACACAGTATACATTATATCCTATCAGACAATGTAATGAAACCAATACTAACCACTGCAATGTTCTCCCTTTAGATTCCATTATACCCTAACTGGCATTAATGTAATGAAAAAGTACTAATACTGAAATTTTTTTCTTCTTCTTCATGTGCAATGGCTGTAAACATTGGTGGAAGGTTCTGACTGTTTGTTTGTCCACTTCAGTTCTTGTTCCAGAACTTGCAGAGTTGTGCATGCACATCCATTTTACAGATCTGGCATATCTGTTCTTAGACTATTGGTTCCTTGCTTCTCACGCAGATACATCTAACTTCAAAGAAAACCCCTAATTAGTCAACATGCTTGTTAGGGAGGCAGTGGGTCTATACTCCCCACTCCTTATAATACTGCCCCAGAACCCACACAGGAAAAAAACTGAATTGTTCTCTCTGTATCCCCCATTATGCCCTATCTGACAATGAAACAAAACAAATACTGACCACTGCAATGTTCTCTCTATAGATATAGTTATAAGGTATGTTCTCTCTACAGATATAGTTATAAGGTATGTTCTCTCTATAGATATAGTTATAAGGTATGTTCTCTCTATAGATATAGTTATAAGGTATGTTCTCTCTATAGATATAGTTATAAGGTATGTTCTCTCTATAGATATAGTTATAAGGTATGTTCTCTCTACAGATATAGTTATAAGGTATGTTCTCTCTATAGATATAGTTATAAGGTATGTTCTCTCTACAGATATAGTTATAAGGTATGTTCTCTCTATAGATACAAGACACAGTACCATAAAACCCTTCTTGTTGGTGACTTCAACGGACACTCGCCACGTTGGGGTTACCCTGACTACAATAGCACAGGGAAGTACATCGAAGATACTTGTGAAACAACTAACCTATTAGTGCTGCAGGACACAGAGTCTACACCTACACTGTTACACAGGGCCCACCTATCTCTCAGCAGACCAGACCTGACCATCTGCTCATCCGACTTAGCAGACGCAAGCTATCCCCAAGTCCTGGACGACATAGGAAGTGACCACAAACCTATACTCACAACTGTAAGCACCACCCCTAAATTACGCTTCAAGCAGAGAACCCGTTGGAATTTCCGAAAAGCAAACTGGAAACTATTTCAGGAAACATCTGACTGCCTCCTGGGAAGAATTGACAACAGCTGTGTGGAAACTTTTTGTGAAGACATAACACAAGCAATCCTGAATGCAGCGTCGAAAGCCATCCCAAGGGGCAGCCGGAAGGCATATAAACCTTTTTGGAATCAAGAAATTCAAAATACTATATCTGAAAGGAATAAAGCAAGAATATTTCTCGAAACTGCACGTTCAACAGAAGCAAAGATCCAATACAATAAAGCATGTGCCAGAGTAAAGCTTGTAGTTAATAAGGCTAAAAGAGATAAATGGACAGAAACTTGCTCCAACTTAGACCTTAGACAGAATGGAAATAAAGCATGGACTTTAGTTAAAAACCTCTCCGGAGAAAGTAGAAGGGTGAACCCAAAACCAGTGACAGATGGGAGTAAGACAATCACTGAAGACAAGAAGAAAGCAGAACATTTCAATCATTATTTTGCCTCGGTTAACAGAGCAGGTAAGCTGTCAGAACTCGATAGAACACAGCTCTCTCAGTTGAAGAAACAAGAGAGAGCTCCAACAGCCAGCGACTCCCTTTTTGAAAATGAATTTAGCATGGATGAATTAGAGCAAGCCCTGAAGAAATTAAAACCTAGAAAATCTCCAGGCCCAGATAAGATCCACAACGAAATGCTGCTACATCTTGGCCGGTCTGGGAGAGAAAGTAGTTCTCAGGCTTATTAATAAAACTTGGAGGTCAAGCAAACTTCCAAGGGCATGGAGGAATGCATATATCGTCCCCATCCTTAAAACCAAAAAGCCTCCAGATGACCCCAAAAGCTACCGCCCGATATCCTTAACATCATGCTTGGGCAAAGTTGCAGAAAGAATGATAAACAGGCGCTTATATTGGTTCCTTGAGAGTTCTGGTGTTCTATGCCATGAACAGGCAGGCTTCAGAACCAACAGCTGCACAGAAGACCAGCTGTTCAGACTGACACAAAGAATACATGATGGCTTCCAGAATAAGAAACACACAGTGGCAGTCTTTGTCGACCTCCAGCAGGCCTATGACAGAGTATGGAGAAAAGGTCTCCTGATGAAGATGATGAGCATAGGAATACATGGCAGATTGTATAACTGGGTGAAATACTTCCTGATAGATAGAACAATCCAGACTAAGATGCACAACGCAATCTCTTCTAAAGAAGTCTTGGAGGAGGGCTTGCCACAAGGCTCATCATTGAGCTGTACACTATTCCTAATCTTTATCAATGACCTGCCAGAACAAATCAAGGCCGAAAAAGCCTTGTACGCTGATGACCTAGCAATATGGCAGAGTCATGAAAATGTGGAAAGTGGAGCCCAAAGACTGAATGGAGACCTTAGAAGACTGCATGATTACTGCCAAAGATGGAAACTCAAGATTAACTGTGCAAAGACGGTCTACACAATCTTTACCAAAAGCCACCAAGTAGCAAGGAAGAATATTAACCTGAGGTTAGACAAACACCAAGTGATGAAAGAAGAGCATCCCATATACCTTGGAGTCACACTTGACCCGCAGCTCAGCCTCAAGAACCATATTGAAAACATCAGGAATAAGGCATTGAGGCGGTTACAGTTATTAAAGAGACTTGCAGGTACATCATGGGGATCAGACAAGGAAACTCTGAGGGGCTTATACCTAGGATATGTTCGCTCTGTGATAGAGTACAACAACTCACTGCTTACAACTTGTTCCAAAACTAACCTAGAGACTCTTGACAGAGTACAAAATAATGCCCTCCGATTAATCTGCGGAGCTATGCAGTCTACACCAACTGCTGCATGTGAAATCCATACAAATGTGGAACCCCTCGGGTTGCGGAGAGAAAAAGCCACTTTAGAAATTTATGAAAGATGCGTTAGGAAAAATCGTAACCATCCTAATAGACATCTTGTAGAAAACTGGGAGTCCAAACAAAGAATAAAGCACAAATCGGTTTTACACTGTGTTAATGAAATTCAGGACAGATACCACCTCCCAGAAAGACGTCAAGGAATTCAGAATGTTGCAAAAAACCTACCACCACATGCTCGCTTTAAAGCTCCAGAAGTCCAAACTAAATTGGTAGGCGAGGAAACCAAACAGTCCGACCCAATCGCTCTTATGAACTCATCACTAAAGACCGTTGATTCTTACCCCCAAGAATGGATACATGTCTATACTGATGGATCAGCATTTAAAGCTACCATTAAAGCAGGTTACGGAATCTACATAGGTTATCCCGATGGATCTGTTGAAGAGATTTTTGATGCATGCGGGGAATTCTGTTCAAACTATGAAGCTGAAATAATTGCACTGGAAACAGCAGTATACCACCTAAAGACTGTAATGGATGTTTACCCCTCGAAGGTCCAAAATATTGTCATCTTCACAGATTCAATGTCTGCCCTTCAAGCTCTGGAGGGCAATGAACGCTGCAGAACTGACATAGCCAAGATAATCCTGGATGCCGATCAGCTTATTACCTCATACAACATCAGAATAGTGATGCAGTGGATTCCAGGTCACTCCGGCACACCAGGTAATGACAGAGCTGACAGATTGGCAAAGAAAGGAGCAACACAAGAACAACCACCTACAGCGACAACCCTCCAGACAGCAAAAACACTGATAAGAGCTATAAACAAAGAGACTTGGTTGAACAGATGGGCCATGGGAGACACTGGAAGAGAGGTTTATAGACATATGTCTGGCCCTGATCCTAATGACAGCATTAACCATCTAACAAGAAGGGACCAGGCCACCATCTTCAGACTTAGAACGCAACATACTCCACTCAATGGACACCTAAACAGAATACAGCCACAACACTCCCCAGAGTGCCAGCTATGTAACTACCCCTACGAAACTGTTGAACACCATCTCTTTGAGTGCCCAAAACTCAGTGAGACAAGAAGAACGCTACTCCCTCCGAGACCAGACAAGTGGAACACCTTGTACGGAGGAAAAGAACAGCTTGTGAAAACATGCAAATTCCACTACATGGCATTGGGCCAAAGGGCGAAAGCTCATGCGCCGCTGGATCGATAACAACAACTCTATAGATATAGTTATAAGGTATCTGGCATTAATGTCATGAAACTGTGCTAATATCAAATTGTTCTCTCTATATCCCCAGTTATACCCTATCTGACAATGAAACAAAACAAATACTGACCACTGCAATGTTCTCTCTACAGATATAGTTATAAGGTATGTTCTCTCTATAGATATAGTTATAAGGTATGTTCTCTCTACAGATATAGTTATAAGGTATGTTCTCTCTACAGATATAGTTATAAGGTATGTTCTCTCTACAGATATAGTTATAAGGTATGTTCTCTCTATAGATATAGTTATAAGGTATGTTCTCTCTACAGATATAGTTATAAGGTATGTTCTCTCTATAGAAATAGTTATAAGGTATGTTCTCTCTATAGATATAGTTATAAGGTATCTGGCATTAATGTCATGAAACTGTACTAATATCAAATTGTTCTCTCTATATCCCCAGTTATACCCTACCTGACAATGAAACAAAACAAATACTGACCATTGCAGTCTGATCTCCATAGCCTCCATTATATCCTATATTGGGCATGCTGGGAGCAGTATGTCCATACCCATGGTAATTGTCTGGGTAATGGTGATTCATCTCTATGGGATAAAAGCAGCCAAACGTAAAAATAAAATACTAAATTATGTTTACAATCTGAAAGCTAGTATACAATTGCTACTGTCTGCAATTTATCACGAGAACTGTGGCTGAGTAGTGGCTAGGTGCCTGTCTGCCGACCTAAAGATCTTGGGTTCAAACAACAGTCACATTTTTTTCCTCTTCGCAATTACCTTGGCTCCAAAGTCAGCTCAGCCTTAAACGGTATATTAAAGTTTTGAACCCACTGTATCTCAATTTTTACTGTCACTCATTTAGATATATAGCCTTATTACTTATCCCTTTCAGGTCCAAATAAGTTAGGTAACAAATCCTTAGGTCAGATCAAATTAAAATAATTTCTTCTTCTTCATCTGCGTTTACCCTTAAAAAAGTGACTGGCACGTGTTGTGGTTTTATAGCCAGGCTGTGATATCTGTGCCTTTCAGCCCAACACATCCAACTTCAACCAATCTTTGATTAGTTACATTAAAATATAAGCTTGTGAGTGGGTCTAATCTCTGTCCCAAAATGGGGTCCCAGAATTCACAGTGGAGAAAGTAACAGAGTTGAGGTACTCAGTGCTGAAAGACAAAACAATGAACAATGCTTGACATTATATCAGTGTTCTTCAACCTGTGGGCCGCAGGAAAATTCCAGGTGGGTCCCAAATATTTCTGCCTTATCCTGAGTTATACAGAGTAGGGTAGGTAGTTTTTCTCTTCCATGATTGCTGTATGTAGGATTCAACACCTTAAAGATGAGAATCACAGAGGTGCAAATCCAGGAAACCCCATTCAAACTCATACAACAATATGACACCCAACAGTTACATCTGGGCTGGGAATAAGGACAATAACTCATGTAGCGACTGTTTTATTCCTGCAAAGTGAGTGTTGCATCATACACATGAATCGTGTTTCTGGGTTTTATTAGTTATCACGTGGATCATAAAACAATTTCCCCCTACTGGTGGGCCAGGGTGTAAAAAGGTTAAGGAACACTGCTCTATACCAAACACCACACAACAGTTGAGGAACACTGCTCTATACCAAACATCACACAGCAGTTGAAGAACACTGCTCTATACCAAATATCACACAACAGTTGAGGAATACTGCTCTATACCAAACATCACACAACAGTTGAGGAACACTGCTCTATACCAAACATCACACAACAGTTGAGGAACACTGCTCTATACCAAACACCACACAAATGTTAAGGAACACTGCTCTATACCAAACACTAAAAGTGAAACCACAAAATAATTGAGCAACACTGCTCTATACCAAACACTAAAAGTAAAACCACAAACAAATTGAGGAACACTGCTCTATACTAAATATCACACAACAGTTGAGGAACACTTCTCTATACCAAACACCACACAACAGTTGAGAAACACTGCTCTATACCAAACATCACACAACAGTTGAACACTGTTCTATACCAAACATCACACAACAGTTGAGGAACACTGTTCTATACCAAACATCCCACAACAGTTGAGGAATACTGCTCTATACCAAACATCACACAACAGCTGAGGAACACTGCTCTATACCAAACATCACACAACAGTTGAGGAACACTGCTCTATACCAAACACCACACAAATGTTAAGGAACACTGCTCTATACCAAACACTAAAAGTGAAACCACAAAATAATTGAGCAACACTGCTCTATACCAAACACTAAAAGTAAAACCACAAACAAATTGAGGAACACTGCTCTATACTAAACATCACACAACAGTTGAGGAACACTTCTCTATACCAAACACCACACAACAGTTGAGAAACACTGCTCTATACCAAACATCACACAACAGTTGAACACTGTTCTATACCAAACATCACACAACAGTTGAGGAACACTGTTCTATACCAAACACCACACAACAGTTGAGGAACACTGCTCTATACCAAACATCACACAACAGTTGAGGAACACTGCTCTATACCAAACATCACAAAACAGTTGAACACTGCTCTATACCAAACACTAAAAGTGAAACCACAAAATAATTGAGCAACACTGCTCTATACCAAACACTAAAAGTAAAACCACAAACAAATTGAGGAACACTGCTCTATACTAAACATCACACAACAGTTGAGGAACACTTCTCTATACCAAACACCACACAACAGTTGAGAAACACTGCTCTATACCAAACATCACACAACAGTTGAACACTGTTCTATACCAAACATCACACAACAGTTGAGGAACACTGTTCTATACCAAACATCACACAACAGTTGAGGAACACTGCTCTATACCAAACATCACACAACAGTTGAGGAACACTGCTCTGTACCAAACATCACAAAACAGTTGAGGAACACTGCTCTATACCAAACACCACACAAATGTTAAGGAACACTGCTCTATACCAAACACCACACAACAGTTGAGGAACAGTGCTCTATACCAAACACTACACAACAGTTGAGGAACACTGCTCTATACCAAACACCACACAACAGTTGAGGAACACTGCTCTATACCAAACACCACACAACAGTTGAGGAACACTGCTCTATACCAAACACCAGTTGAGGAACACTGCTCTATACCAAACACTAAAAGTGAAAGCACAAAAAAATTGAGCAACACTGGTCTATACCAAACACTAAAAGTGAAATCACAAAATAATTGAGCAACACTGCTCTATACCAAACACCACACAACAGTTTAGGAACACTGCTCTATACCAAACACCACACAACTGTTGAGGAACTCTGCTCTATACCAAACACCCCACAACAGTTGAGGAAAACTGCTCTATACCAAACACTAAAAGTGAAACCACAAAAAATTTAAGGAACACTGCTCTATACCAAACACCACTTGAGGAACACTGCTCTATACCAAACACTAATAGTAATAGTACCATACAAAAATTAAGGAACATTCTATACCAAACACTTCAGTTCACAAAGTAATGACTTTTTACATCAGTGGCTAATCGGGCATATGATGCTAGAGTTTTATATTTTTATTATATTTATAGACCAACTGGCACTAGAAGGGTGCTGACAACGTTAAAAAGTGCAAACAATGTTTTTTTTTTCTTTTTTATTCATTTCTCTCCCCCCCCCCCTATACAAAAACGTGCATAGCTCGGCTTAGAATTGACATATAGACATGAATTAAGTACTGCTGACTGCTGGCAGGAGCTTTTTAATATGTATCATCTGTGCTAATTTTATTAGTATAGAATGATTTTGAAAACACAACTAAAGTTCCTATGCAAAACATCTTATGTTGACTGGTGATTCATACTTATTTAACTTAATACTGCTCTCTACTCTTCTGTCCCAGAGCAATAAATAATATTACAATTACTGCCAATAACATTTTGCGGTCCTGGTCAGATGTGGTGGCAATAATAACTGTCTAGGATAGGAGATTCACTGAATCTCTAGAATAGATTTAGAATGGGTGATTTACTCAGATAGAATAATTTAATAATTGTTATTGTCAGCTAGCATTATATGGAATCATTTAAGAATAATGAAAGTGATAGGAATCAAAGTAAAGAAACTAGGGGTAGCAACATAACTGAAAACTGGTTTTTGTTATAATAACTACCTGTTCGTTAAGTTCTTATATGACGCTTATTACACATGTCCTTGCCTTTTTAGAGGGTAGTCAGGTGAAAATAAACAAATGCAACCCGCCAAAATGTACAGAACAGGATATTATAATCATATATCCGAATGCCGAATCACCGCAAACTAAAACATACTTTTTTTTCTCTACCCTTCATTGGATAACTTTGCGAAGAGTATCCTTTGGCAATACGATACGTACGGAGCAAAGGATCCTAATATTGAATGATAACTATGACTGTTAAGTCACCCAGTGAATTATAATCAATTTGTCAATTTCTGAGCGAAAATCAAAATCACAAATGAAAATCTGACTGACATCATTCATCATTCATCATGATGATGAGTGAACAGGCAAGTTCGCAGGCCGCATTCATTTATTCTTCACCTTGCTGAGGTAAAGAAGATAACGTGGATATGTTTACATAATGAAGTCAGTTACATACTGTACCTTAATATTAAAACAACTGTCGATTAAAGAAACAATAATGGGAACTGTACATTGAAAGACAGACGTAATTCCCATGCTTCTTCAATTCACTTCTAACTCTAACAAAACAACGCAGCAGCCATTTTGGATTCCTTATGCGCAGACTCACCTATATATTTCCCTAGCACTTTTAAAATGCCATCGCGTATTAGGTGGGGCGTGCTCTATAACTGAAGAAACTGAATTCTAACGCATAAGTGACAATAACTTATATCTGGTTATTTGTTGAAAGTATCAAAACAACAACGGTGTTATTCTTTTATAATCATAATGGCTGATATGTCACGTGACTTCTTCTGGGAAGTTCAGTGTTCCCAAATTATAAAAATAATAACTACTCATCTACGAATCTATTATTACCTTTACATCATCACTGTGTGCCTTGCCAGATAGTAAGCGTGCTTGTCACTCAGTGGATCTCGGCCCTGCTGTGCTGGATTAAATCCATTGAAGATATTATGTGATGCCTTCCCTACAGACTGACCACAATATTTCTCTTGGTCTGCCTTCTGCCACTTATGTTTCCATTGGACTCCAAAGGCACAGGAAGCAAGTAGCTTAGACGTTTTGAGACTTTGCACCAATCTTCTTCAAAATTACAATCTCTTGTAGTTCACTAGTGCAGCTATCATCCGCCTCCATTCATCTCTCTGGTTGGCCGTCTCTCTCCTGTTGGTGACATCAAGTGTTTGTAGGTCTGTCTGAACATTATTTCTCCATTGTCTTTTTGGTCGGACTCGTGGTCAACGACCATTCAGGTCCATTGTGTCCAGTTTTCACCTCTCTGTCTTCTGACATTCTCTTCATATGCGACAACCATTTCAGTCTATTAGCTCTCATGATACCAGTGATCAATGGTGATTTAAACAGACTATGAATTTCGTT